GCCTAAGGATCTCGTCCCCGGCGTTCCTGGCTATGACTGGGTCAGGCGCGACGTGGGGGAGTTCCAGAGCGTATTCAAGTCATTTTTGGAGATTAATGCGATTCGAAGAACGCATAGGATCTGTGAACCTTCCGTCTCCAAATTCGTCTGTCTAGAGCTGTGTCGGCCCGATGAGCGTGTGTATATGGGGAGATCTTCTGACCCTCCCCATTTCTATGTGTATCAGTTTCTTTTCAGGGACTTGGGTGTCTGTCTTCCTTTCACTCAATTTGAGTGTGATTTTTTGAATTTCATAAACTCGGCTCCTTGCCAGTTGCACCCCAATAGTTGGGGTTTTTTGAGGGCTTTCCAGGTCCTGTGTTCAGCTTTGGGGATAGAGGTATCTCTGCCTGTTTTTCTTCATTTTTATCAGTTAAAAATGGGCGTTCTTCCCCACGGTTTGATGTCCCGCCATTGAAAATCTTGAAGCACTTCCGTGCCCGCTGGATTGCAAGCTCATCCTGTCGCTTGCGAACTCGGCGTACAAAGAGAGGGGCTTTGAGAGTGAGTATCTCGTCTTCTTTAGATTGTTAGGGCTTGTGAAAGGGAAAAATTTTAAAGACACAAGAGAAGGAAACAAGTCACCCATGAAGACAACCATGGCTCTGATACCACATGATGGGCTCCTTCCTTCCATGGTGTGTTCTTTGGCTTCCAAGGAGGATCTCCCTATTTCTCCACAGTCTAGGAAGAAGGATGATGTCTGGATGTTCCTCAAGGGTGGTGGAAAAACAATATTGAAGGGTGGAGGTGAAGGTGGACGAAAATGGAGGTGGGAAGGTGGAAGGTGTTTTTGGTGCTCTTGGCTAGCTCTCTCCACCAAGGGTTGGTGGAGGCCACTCAAGGGAAACTCAAACTCTCTTTAGGGTAGAGAGGAGAGGAGGTTGGGCATGAGGACCCTAGGAGACTAAGGAAGGATTTTGAGGCACAAAGGCTCACTCAAAATGCATATATTCCAAAGTGGGTACAAGGTGGAGGGACTAGAGTACTTATAGAGATAGGAGAGCATCCTAGGGTTTCTTGGGAGCATTTGGCCAAAAATTTCAAGTCCAAATGCACCCTAAATGAACCCTAGATGCAGCCCAAATGAAATGGCTCTCATCTCTCCAAAAAGACTAAAGTACCCTTAGTCCTAGAAAATGAAAGAAATGGACTTTTGACCTTACTAGTCAAGGTTAAGTCCCTAAATAAATCCTAAGCCTATTTTTGCCCCATAATATAAAGGCTAAATAAAAATACACAATAAAATCCTAATAGCTAATGTACCCCAAAATACAAAGGCAAAATAGGAAAGGAAAGCAACAAGCTAAGGAGAGGGCCCAAAATCCACACACATGATGATCATGGCTTTTGGTGTGGTGTGTTCTTCATCTTCCTCTACTCTCCTAGCCATGGACCTTGTGATAGGCCCTATATGATGTCTCAAGGATGGTCCTCCATCACCAATGCTACTGAGAGTTCGGGTGATTCGTCAAGTTCTGATTTTCCAGATGCCGGAATGGACCATCAAGATTACAGGTAGAAGTTTCCCCCATGTGAGTTCTCGGGGTACGAGTGGGTTGACGGTGAAGTAGCGGCTTATTATTCTCACTTTTATGAGAGGGCTGCGGTGGAGGGTCTGCTGGCGACATGTCAATTAGCTCGTTGGGATAACACCGACCCTTACCCCATCATGCTTCGTCGTTGTTGGGCCGAAGGTCCCCGGGAGACTGATTTGGTTTTCCTTGCGAAGCGGGAGGATCAAAGCGATTTTTTCTATATGTATGAGTGCTTGTTTAGAGATCTCGGGGTATCCCTACCCTATGATGATTTCCAAATGAGTGTACTTCGAGTTCTTAATGTGGCACCTACACAACTACATCCGAATGGGTGGGCGGTTATGCAAACATTTCGGGTTCTTTGTAAATATCATTACATCGAGTCGAGTGTTGGGATATTCCTTCATTTTTTCTGCATTCGTCCTTCGAACAAGGCTGTGAAGTGGGTATCATTAATAAGGCATGCTGACCGGCCTCTTTTCAAGTCATTTATGACTTCCTTTAAAGGGTTTAAGGCCAGGTTTGTAAAGGTTATCATAGACCCTATAGTTGGCCGAAACCATTTTTATGATAGTGAAGGGAGTCCATTGTTCCCTTTCTATTGGACCCGGGTACCTCGAAAGTATGATGAATAACCGGACGAGATGCTTAGTCTAGACGAAGCTGCTTCGCTATCATACTTGAATAGTTTGCCCCAAGAGATTCTGGCTCGATTTTTGGTCCTGCTACCGAAATCTGCCCGGCCTCGCTTTGACTTAGAGGGTATGTGTTTGTGTTAACTTGACTTTGATTTCATGTTGGTTGATTTGTGACTATGCTTTTTTTGTAGGTTGGATGGCGCAAAAAGGGTTCGGGCTCTCTTATCGTAAGGCAGTTCGCAATCGGGCTCCCGCTAATACTTTGGCTGAGGACCACCGTAGTGTGGCTATTGACACGACTCCTGTTGCTATTACTGAGGCACGTGCCCCTTCACAAGACATTGTCCTTCCTGATCCTCATGATAAGAAGAAGAGGGATAAAGGTAAGAGGAGAGCAGAATCGAGTGCACCTGATGGTTCTCGGTCTAAGCATAGGCGTACCACAAGCTCTTATTTTGATCTGGCCATTCCTTCAGCCATCGTGGCTCGAGATTTGCTATCTCTGTTAGTTCGGCCTTCTAAGATGTTGTCCCCTGATCTCTTGTCCACACAGGGTCATCGGATGTTGGAATCCACCACCCCCTCGACTCAGTGGGCCATGGCGTGTGAGCTTCAAGTTCGTGTTCGGAAGCTCGCGCTAGAACCCCTTGTAGATGCGCACAATTTGAAGAAGTCTTTAGAAGAGACGAGGACTGCCCTTCAGCACTCGATTGATGCCCATGAGGTCACTTCAACCGAAAATTTGCAACTTAAGACTGAGGTAGCACGCCTAAAGGAGGCTCTTAGTGATATGGAGGGTCGGGCGATTGCAGCTGAGGAAGCGGAAAACATGAGGGTTTCCGAGTTGAAGGAGGTCTTGGAGCTAGAGGCCAAGGTTAAGGCCGACATGGAAGTATCTATAAATAGTTTTCGGACTGAGTGCGAGAACAAGATCATCCATGAGCATGAGTTAGGTTTCAAGCACGCTGTTCGTCAGGCTCAATATTTTTGTTGCGTCCCCCCCGGTTTCACTTTCGAAGTAAACAAAGATTTTTACCAGGGGGTGTATATGGAGTATGACGAGATGCCTGAAGATGCCGAACCTGATGAGGTGGCCCCTTCCCGACCTGCTGCGCTTGAAGACCCCGACACCACTATCCAAGATGATGAGGATAGTCAGAATGGTGATGAGGGTGACCATACCGTGGTTGATAACTGATTAGTTAGGGTCTTTGATACATCTATTTTGTGAATGATGTAGAGGGATGGAATTTTTTGTGTATGCTGGGAGGGTATACTTTTGTTTACCATGGCCCGCTGGGTCTTATATTTGGTTGTACCCGAGCCGATAGTGCTCACTCCATTCTGCGTTAATGACAATATTGTTTTAACTGTGTTTATTTTCCAAGTTTGTGTTTTGACCCGCCTGGATAAGTATACTATCTTTGCTTGTTTGTTTATGGTTTGATAATGTGTCGTTTCTAGCTCATGGTCTAGTGTGGTTAGTAATGAGTTGTAATGCTTTACCAAGTATTTAAGACGTTATCATGGTTATTGTTTAGCCTTAGGCGAGTGATAAAGCTTGAGAATGTTCTTACCCTATCTTAACCAGGTGTTTAAGCTCGGAGAGGTTATAGCATTTACTCTTAACCGAGTTTGTTTTATCAATCTTGTCCAAGCGTTTGAGCTTGGGAGAGATTGTAGTATTCGGCCAAATATTCATCCTTAGCCAAATATGGGTACTCGGGAGAGTCTTTCAATCATCCTTGACCGAGCAATTGTGCTCGGGAGGGAATGCTTTTGCATCCTTGGCCGAGCAGTGGTGCTCGGGAAGGAATGCTTTTGCGTCCTTGGCCGAGCAGTGATGCTCGGGAGGGAATGCTTTTTGCGTCCTTGGCCGAGCAGTGATGCTCGGGAGGGAATGGTTTTGCGTCTTTGGCCGAGCAGTGATTCTCGGGAGGGAATGGTTTTGCGTCCTTGGCCGAGCAGTGATGCTCGGGAGGGAATGCTTTTTGCGTCCTTGGCCGAGCAGTGATGCTCGGGAGGGAATGCTTTTTGCGTCCTTGGCCGAGCAGTGATGCTCGGGAGGGAATGCTTTTTGCGTCCTTGGCCGAGCAGTGATGCTCGGGAGGGAATGATTTTTTCGTCCTTGATCGAATAGTGGTGCTTGGGAGAGAATGATTTTTGCGTCCTTGACCGAGCAGTGGTGCTCGGGAGGGAATGATTTTGCGTCCTTGGTCGAGCAGTGGTGCTCAGGAGGGAATGATTTTGCGTCCTTGGCCGAGTAGTGGTGCTCGGGAGGGAATGCTTTTGTTCGTCTAGCTTAATTTGTAAATAACAAGGCAGAAACTTGGATGCAAACAAACTAGTTTGGTCTAAGATGTGTTTCATTACTGGGGTGCCTCGTTAAAAACCTTTCCGAGTAAAACCTCTTTAACATTCTTTTACAAGAGGAGAAAACTTGGGAAAGGAAAAGAGTACACCGAAACAGCTACATGGTTAGCATAAAATTAACTGAAATAATGTTTTAGATGTGTTGCGTTCCATGTTCTTGGAATGGCTCGTTCCGTAAGTTCCTCGAGCTTGTAGGCTCCATTGTTTAGGTTATGTAATACGCGAAAAGGGCCATCCCAATTGGGTGCTAACTTCCCCTGCGCTTTATTCCTTCTTGCTTCCCCGGTGACTCTCCAGACAAGGTCTCCTAGTTGAAATTCTCGCGGCTTTACCTTTGTTTTATGTTTCCTAGCTACCATTGCTCTACATGCTTCCATGTTGATAAGCGCTCGGTCTCTTGCTTCGTCGATCAGGTCTAATTCTACGTTGAGTGCTTCATCGTTGGCTTGTTCATTGAATTATTGTCGTCTTAAAGAAGGTTCTCCTATCTCGACCAGAATCATGGCATCTATACCATATGCTAGTCGAAATGGGGTCTCTTTAGTGGAACTTTGAGGCGTGCAACGGTAGGCCCACAGGATTTCGGGTAATTGATCAGGCCATGAACCTTTGGCCTGCCCAAGACGTCTCTTCAATTCTTTCAGAACGACCTTATTCGCTACCTCTGCTTGACCGTTGGTTTGGGGATGTTCTACTGACGTCATCCTATGCCTGATCTGTAGTCCTTCCAGGAATTCATTAAGACGACGGTCTGTGAATTGCAAGGCATTATCCGTGATCATAGCATATGGGACTCCAAAGCGGGTGATAATATTTTTCCATAAAAACTTTTGAACGTTGTTGGCTGTAATGGTGGCCACTGCCTCTACTTCAATCCACTTGGTGAAGTGGTCGATCGCTACTATTAGGAACTTCACTTGTCCTTTCGCTGGCGGGAACGGTCCTAGAATATTCATTCCCCAAATAGAAAAAGGCCATGGTGCTGTGATGAAATGCAATTCCTCTGCAGGTTGGTGCACTAGCAGTCCATGTTGTTGGCATGGCTTGCATTGTTGAGTAAAATTTGCACAATCCGCTGTAAGAGTTGGCCAATAGTACCTAGCGCGGAGAACTTTGGCTGCCATGGTTCGTCCTCCTGAGTGGGTTTCGCATATGCCTTCATGGATTTCGTGGAGGATGTACTGAGCTTGGTCGGGAGTCAGACATTTCAGGAGTGGGGATGAGACGCCTCTTTTGTATAGCTCGCCTGATATGAGAGTGTATCGTGTGGCTATTTTTCTTATCTTTTGGGCTTCGAGGGGGTCGGTTGGTGATTCTCCTGTCAACAGATAATTGATGATGTTGGTCATCCAATTTTTATCCCCTTGTTGGATTTGTAGGCACTCTGGCTCTACAATGCTTGGACTTTGAAGTTCTTGTTGTATCACGCTACGGAGTTGGTTCATTTTCTTACTACTTGCCAGCTTTGCCAATCGGTCAACCCTCATGTTGAGTTCTCTAGGGGTATGGTATATGTGAACTTCTTTAAAGGTAGACTTAAGCTTTTGAAAAGCGTGGAAATATCGAAGCAATGTTGGTTCTTTTATCTGAAATGTGTCGTTGATCTGCTCCGTGACTACTTGAGAGTCACTCCAACATTTAACCCTTGCCACCCCTAAATCACTCACTAGACACAAACCAGCTAACAGGGCTTCATACTCGGCTTGATTGTTGAAAGTTTTGAAGTTGAATCGTAGTGATTGTTCTATCACCATGTTGTCCGGTCCTTCAAGTATAATTCCGGTTCCACTGCCTTGTAGGATTGATGATCCATCTACATGTAGTGTCCATGTAGTTTTTTTCGAGGGTGTTTCGGGATGGAACTCATTTAAGAAGTCAGCCATGCTTTGAGCTTTGATAGGGCCCCTTGATTCGAAACGAATGTCGTACTGTGACAGTTCAATCGACCACGCTACCATCCTGCCTTCCAGCTCGGGTTTGCGTAAAACCTTGGCTATGGGGTTGTCTATTCTTACCACTATTTTATGGCTTTGGAAGTAATGGTGCAGGCATCGGGCCATCTGTACCAGTGCTAGGACTATCTTTTCAAGTTGCTGGTATCGGGTCTCTACCTCCTGCAAGACTCGGCTGATAAAATACACTGGGACTTGTTCTTTTCTCTCTTGTACCAAGGCAGCGCTGATAGCCTTTTCAGAAACGGCTATGTAGACTATGAGGTCTGACTAGGGGTCCGGCTTAGCCAGGAGTGGTGGTGCAGCTAGCATCGCTTTGAATTCTTGGAATGATGATTCACACTCTTCGGTCCACTGGAACTTGCGGGCTATCTTTAATAGTGACATTATTGGTCTAGACTTGTCCGCCATGCATGGCAAAAAACGTGCCAATGATGCTATCTGCCCTGCCAGGAGCTGTACTTCTTTAATGTTGCGGGGGCTCCTCATGTTGATGACAGCTTGGCACTTATCGGGATTAGCCTCTATCCCCCTCTTCGAGAGCATAAATCCCAGGAACTTTCCGTCGGTAACTCCGAAGGTGCACTTTGCCAGATTCAAGCACATGCAATGCTTTCTTACCTCATCGAATACCTGTTTTAGGTTTTTAATGTGATCATGTTTGGAGTTAGATTTTACCACCATGTCGTCCACATACACTTCGAGACATTTTCCAATCTGTTGGTGGAAGATCTTGTCCATGAGTCATTGGTAGGTTGCCCCTGCATTCTTTAAACCAAATGGCATTACTTTGTAACAAAAGTTAGTCGACTCCGTGATGAACGCTGCTTTCCCCTCATCCGGTGGATACATGGGTATCTGATTGTACCCAGAATAAGCGTCGAGGAAACTAAGTATTTGATGACCTGCTGCCCTGTCTACCAACGCATCAATATGTGGTAGAGGATAAGCATCCTTCGGGCAGGCCTTGTTCAAATTTTTGTAATCGGTACACATTCTCCATTTTTCGTTAGCCTTTTTTTATCATCACCACGTTGGCTAACCAAGTGGTATATTTGACTTCTCGGATGAACCCAGCTTGGAGTAGTTTTGCGGTTTCCTCCTTTACGGCTTGTGCTCTCTCACCGCCCATCTTCCTCTTTTTCTGGGCAACAGGCTTGGCATCTCGACATATGGAAAGTCGATGGCAGTGATAGTGGGGGTCAATGCCCGACATGTCTACTGCTGTCCAGGCAAATAGGTCCGAGTTCCTAATGAGTACCTTCTTGATGCTCTCGACTTTGATGGCAGTCAATTGGGAACTCAAGTATGTGACTTGCTCCTTACTTCTTTCGAGCTGCAAAGGGATAGTTGTCTCGACCGGCTCCACTCTATGGTCTTCATCTGAACGGGGGTCTAGTTCGAGACACATATCTCCTTTGATTTGGTGGTGATCACCGATAACATTGACGTCGTGTGAGTACCTAGGCATCGGTTGTATCTTCAAGCTAGCATAGTAGCACTCACGAGCCATTTCTGATCGGCATGTAGTGTGATCACCATGCCAGTTTCAGACAGAAACTTCATGGCTAAGTGTGGGGTCGACATGATGGCACGTAACTTGTTCAAGGAGGGTCGTCCAAGCAAGATATTATATAAGGTATTGGCTTGTACCACCATGTACCGCACTTTGACTCGACGTCCTTCTCGTACGATCCCGAACCAGGTGTACAAGTCAATGGTCCCTCAGGTATCTGCTCTTTCCCCTGAGAATACGACTAAAGGCTCATTGTAGGGTGTTAGCTCTTGTTCAGGAATACCCAATTGTTTGAATATTTTCTAGTATAAGATGTCAATTGAGCTTCCTTGGTCTACCAGTGTTTTCCTCACGAGGCAGTTATTAATTTCTACGCTGATCACCATAGGGTCGTCTTGTACTGGGCCGACCCCCTGGAAATCCCTGTTAGTGAAGGTGATCGGTGGCATAGGGACTAAACTTGCTTGTGTTACCGCATTTATCGACCGAATCGCCCTCAAGTGTCTTTTTCAAGCTGATGAGGTGCCTCCACCTCCTGCGAATCCTCCGGTGATTGTATTGATCACCCTTCTCAGGGGATTCCTTTCCCGCTTTTGATCGGTCCGCTCATGTGACTTGCTGCGTTCCCTGTGTCTATATCTTGGAGGCACCCTATCTTGGCCCTCTCTTCCAGTCTCTTTGATCGGATTGACTATCGTGCGTCATGTTTGAGGACTGTATGAAGCTTCGGAGGTGTCCTTCTTTCACGAGATCTTCAATGCGATCTCAGAGAGCTGTACACTCCTCCGTGGTGTGCCCCCTATTTCTATGAAATTGACAGGTTTTCGTCATGTCTGCATGGGGTGGAGTTATAGGCATTGAGGTACTGTTAGGACTTCGGTGGCCAGAGCTTGCTCCAATACCGTAGCTCTGTTGGCATTTAGGGGTCTGTATTGCGCATACCTTGGTCCCCTTGCGATCCTTTCGCGATCCGCAATGCTTGGTGGGCGAGGTTTTACCGGGTGTTCTCGGTCCCCTTCCTTCTTATTTAGTTCTTGTCGTGACTAATTTCTGAATTCGGCAAACTCTTCCATTTGCATGTATTTGGTCGCTCTTTTTCGTAGATCGTCGAGGTCTATAGGTGGCTTCTTACACAAACTGTTGACAAAGGGCCCAGGTCATAGTGTCATAGTGAGGTGGTGTATGGCTACTGTTGGGTCTAAATCCTGAATGCCTAAAGTCATCTTCCCGAATCGTTCCATGAACGCCCTCAAAGGTTCCCTCTTTTCTTGTCGAATGTTGACTAAGGCCAGGGAGGTAAGCCGATGAGGTCGACTTGTGGCAAACTGGACACTAAAGTGGGATGATAAAGTAGCAAAGGAATTTATCAATCCTGGTGTGTCTTGTGAACCAGCTTAAAGAAGGTCCTTTCAATGATGTAGGAAATACTTTACATATGATGGCATCCTCCTTGGTGAACAAACCGACTTGGGTGATAAAGGCATCAAGGTGCTCCTCTTGGTCGGTAGTTCCATCATATCCTTCCAGAGCCAAGTTTTTCCAATTGTTCGGTAAACGTGCGCTGGTGATCTCGGGAGTAAATGGTGTTCTCCCTTGTCGTCGTTGTTGATCAAGTGTTGTTGTCATTGCTCCCTCAGGTGGCCCGGGAATTCTTGGCTCTTTGCAGCACCCCGATGATTCCCCCTGATCGTGTGTAGACCGGGTGTTGGGTGTGCTGTGGGATGGATGCCGGGAGCAGTTGTCACTCCTAAGTTCTGCATTATCCTTTCTTAGAACGGACAGTTCGTGGGCATTTTTTTCCCGAAGCCTTTTCAATTCTAACATTTCGGCCCTTAGTTGGTCTATGGCGGACGATGGGTTAGCCGGCTGCGAACGATCTTCGTACGATTCTTCCGTCCCTTCTCCCGTTTGATTTGCCTCCTGTGTGGGTTCTCTAGGCATTCCAAGGTTGTGAACGGTCGTGTTTTCCTGTTGACTTCTTGTTGCTACCATCTCAATTCAGGGTCGAAGACCGTTTTGGTTTCGGCCCCACGGTGGGCGCCAAAATGTTCCTGTCGGAAACACTCTTGTACTTCCTGCTGGCTAATCTTCTAAGTCTCGCGTACTAGTCGAATCCTATCTCCGGATGGTGGGGGAGGGTACCTGCAAAGGCACTCCAACGCTCAAGTCAGTGTTCGATTTAGAGCAATGAATGCTATAGTATTAAATAATCATACTTACCTTTCTGTCCCATCAATACTGTATTTATAGTGACTTATTTGGGCTGATGGGCCTTTTTGATTAAGAGATTAATAATCTCGAGTTTCATGCCTTAATATGAGCTAATGTGGACCATTATTAGCTAACCAAAATTAGCGTAATGTGGTTTTAGTGATAGGGGGTATTCGGCTTATCTTATGGTCGAATACCCTTTCGGGTTATGTCTTAACCGAACTGGTACTCGGCCTTCAACCTTTGTGACTAGATGACTGCTCGGCCTGGGGTGACGGGGCTTTGGTGGTGACAAGTATCCGGCTTTTGTTGTGGTCAAATACACTTTCGGGTTGTGCACTAGCCGAAGGGGTATTTGGTTCCCCAGTACATGGACGGATAATTGTTTACCCGTTTATAAATGGGGCAGGGGTGGGTATGATGATATCCATACCCATGGGTACCCGTTTAATAGTATTTCTTAAATATCCTAATTATCCTTGTACCACATAACCCTAAAACTACACTCTCTCATTTTATTTTCTTACAAAAGAGAGGTTGATAAAGTTATCAACATGTGTTAATAATGTTATAGAATTATATTGGATGTAATTTGATTAATTTTCTAGCTTTGATTGGACCAATAAAATTTATGTATTTTAAGTTGTTTACTTTCGTTTGAAATTATGAGATTGAATTATTGTAGCTTTGTGATGAGACTTTAACTTACTTGTGAGATTGATGTATTTTAAGTTATTGATTAACTTACATTTTTATTATTATTTTAACAAAATTAACGTTAAATACAAGTTCAAAATTAACATTGAATTTTTATTTTTAATATTTCAATGACATTAAATATAAACTTAAAATTATTTGTAATATATTTTTTTTAATTTCTTAATATATTTATAAATATCCATGAATATCCGTGGATATTCAAGAAATTCATGGATACCCGCACGGATATGGGGTGGGTATGAGACTAATTTTTATCTAGTGGGGCGGGGGTAGGTTTACTATTACCCGTCCTCATGGGGCCCATTGCCATCCCTAATTGTGATGCTTGGCCTTAGCACACCTTTGTGTTGAGATTTTCGTTGAAACACTTTTGTTAATATTTGTAAATTCGTTTAATTCTATCAACGGTCTCAAACACGGCAAGTATACCGGCCGTTCAAGTAGTAAAAATATCGTATCCACAGGGATTAGAAGGTAATATAAGCATTTATTGACTATTCGTGACTAAAGAATAATTCCAATTTCATAGTTTGTGCAGTGAATTCAAAGTTGTGACTATTGGAATGAAAGCTGTAAATAAATATTGTTTTGTGAGTGGAAAAGGTAAGGAATGGTATTGTGGTATTGTGAGGTTGTGGGGGTCAGATTTCACCAAACGTAA